AGCTGCACTTAGTAAATGTCCTTGTGGAGTATGAGGATCCTTAAAACTAAAAAAAAAAGCATTTAGTACTTTCATTGAAGTATATGCATTCTAGGATAGTTTTTGTGCGATTTTACAAAAGTATCTCCCGAATATCCCGCTACGTCCCAGGCAAATAGATCTCAGTATTTGTATTTTGGGCTTCCAAGCAATGTATTTGAATATTTGTATCCCGGAGTATTTTTGAGCCGCTCTGACCAGTCTAGGTTTATCCCATTCCATGCAAATAGGCAAAAAACCAGAGTTGTTTGATATAGCATTACATGGTTCTTTAAGATTACCTCGCGAAAAAATAATATTAGGAAGAAGGACGACACATAATGACAAGCACACACAGTACAATTAACTTCCCCACACACAAAAAAACGATTTTCTAGAGCGCAGGATTAGAGTGAGAACTGTGGTAAAGGCAACAACGCATTTTTATTTTTCATGTTTGAATCAAAACATACGCTCGTAATACAAGGAACTCGTAGTATAGGAGCTTTTCCAGGTGGTCTGAAGGTCAAGTGCTGCTGAACAATCACAGGTTTTTCCATGATAAAGATACAGGTTTGGAAAAAATTAAAAGCTGTCATATAGAAGCTTTAGCAACAGGTTTAACACTCCGGCACGTAATGCTTTCTGGCTATATTTACGGGCTCCTGGCTGTTCGTAAAAACGAATGATATGTTTCAGGTTTTTGCCCCGCCACGGTGGTTTAGTGGTTAAGGTACTCGGCTGCTGACCCGCAGGTCGCGGGATCAAATCCCGGCTGTGGCGGCTGCATTTCCGATGGAGGCGGAAATTTTGTAGGCCCGTGTACTCAGATTTGGGTGCACGTTAAAGAACCCCAGGTGGTCAAAATTTCCGGAGCCCTCCACTACGGCGTCTCTCATAATCATATGGTGGTTTTGGGACGTTAAACCCCACAAATCAATCATGTTTCAGGTTTAACAAAAGACGTTAGTGGTCAGCAGCTGCGCTGGCGTGGACTCAAAAGTGCCATCTTTTGCGCAGTGTCGAACAATACGTTTTTGTATGTTGCGAGTAATCCGAATATCGAAAGGATGTGAACATGTTTTGAAAAACTGTTTTCCAATGATTCAAGGCATTTCATATGAACATATTTCATATTTTCGTGCTATTAGGCAGCTATCTATATCCAGTGGCACCAGACTAAGAGCAATAGGTCTTATTTTGTCGAGATTTACGATAGGAGTCACTAAAACGAGTCAGTGAACACGAACAAGAGAGAAAAGAAAACGACACTTAATAACTCTGGCAAATGTTAAGTGAGCACACATTCACTCCAACTACTCGCACAGTGAATTTATTATTGTGAGATAAGCTAATTTTGGCGAAATAACAGGTCTTGCTTTTATATTTGGCGACGTCTCATATTTCACGATTCAGCCTAAATTCAAGGCATGCATGAAAAACTGTCTGCACACTAAGTCATCGATATTTCCGGGAAAACTAGGTGGCTCACATTGCCATTACGAAGTACATGCTGTGCACCAGGGGACGTCAACAGGACGCTACCTGCCACAATGTGTAGACTGAACATGGAGAAGAAGCTAAAGGCAGATACACCCATAACTTCGACGAAAGTGGCGCAAGGTCAACAGGGGCACGAGAAGATTGAATAATTGATTGATACGGAGTGTTTAACGTCCCAAAACCACCATGTGATTATGAGAGACGATGTAGTGTAGGGATCCGGCAATTTCAACCATTTGCGGTTTTTTAACGTACACACAAATCTGAGCACATTGGTGTACAGCATTTTCTCCTCTATCGAAAATGCAACCGCCACAGCCGGGATTTTACCCCGCGACCTGCGGTTCAGCAGCCGAGTACCTTAGCCACTAGACCACCACGGTGGGGCAGGGGCACGAGAAGAGGGCACACAAACAGCTTTTGTTCATCCAGTGTAGTGTTAGATGACATTATACAACAACGTGCCTGAATTTAAACCATGCATTTAGATCTAATATCAGGTAGCATGTTTTCCGGATAATTCATTGTGATAGGGGCTTAACTAATGTGGTACTTTATCTCTACTGCACTCAACTACATGCAATGAATCGCGAGAAGCAAAAAAAGGAAGGTGACTGCACATTCTATATGTTTCGGAAACCTTCCATCAATGAAGCTTGGGAACGGTGCAATAAGAATTGATTGAGCTGGCATGCACCCGTAAACTATCCACAAGTTGGGGGGACAAGTACCAGTTCCATGTCCTGAGTGCCAGTTACAGTGGGGAATGTTAGCTGTCATATCAGCACATATGCAAGCATACATGGAATGAGGTGGCCTCCCACCTGCGAAAGTAATGAGATTGTTCCCCCCCCCCTTCCCCAAAATAAAGAGTTTGCTCTCGCTTTGTGTGTGCTATTGAGAAAGAATCTCGGTATGAGAGCGTTCATTGAATTTTAGGCCCCGGGCTCGCAAGTTTTTTTTTTTTTTTCGTAAAACAAAACTGGGAAACCACACGGGGCGTCTACAGCCGTCCTATCAGTTAAGCAGCCTTATTCTCAGAAGCAAAAATATTTTTGAGGGAATTTTCAATATTTTAGTAAAATGTTCACATTTTTAAACACGCTTCCGTACCGACGACATTGTGAAGCTTATGATATATACGCATGCGACTCCTTCGTAAATGCCATGCGCTGGGCTGACATCACAACGGTTCTATTGTAGATGTTGGCGCCGTACGAGGCAAACTCTCGTGATATTTCCAGTCACCTGTAAATTGTGTGCATCAATGATGTCGCGAAAAGTTACTTGCAAGGTAGTGTTTGAGTTGTGCGTGTTACGCAGCCCACTTTTTGATTGGTGATATTTCCTGTGTCCTTTTACTGACAGGATTTTCTGATACACTTCTATCATCGGGATAGGACCTCTAAATGCTTTTGCATGTGTCCTGAATGCCTCACTGGCTGGCTTCAACTCACTGGCTTCATTACACTCGCGTTTTTAAAGCGCCATCTGCGCCATGCTCATCAAGATGTTACACTACTTGCCTATCAGTCTCTCATCACTTGGAAATTACATTAAGCATCCCCCATTGCGAGCCCTCATCAACAATATCTCATCAATCAACTCGACCCACTTCAATATCGAGCTACGAGATTTGTTGACTCTAAGTACTCATATTACGTCAGCATATCGGCACTGAAATTATTATCCAAATTATCATTCTTCACATCGCGTCACAGCACTGCTAGCATTTGTCTTTTTCACAAGTTGTTTTACAGCTCCCTCGGTAAGCCACCGTACATTTTCCCCCGACACGCATCTCTAGTCGCACCAGTCACACCAAACAACCTGCTCGCCCACGTGCCCGCACGGTCACGTTTTTGTCTTCATTCTTTTTTCGGGCAGCAACAGACTAGAATGGCTTCTTCAATGACATCACAGCCATTACCTGTCCTTCCACATTTTTTACCGCTTTAACAGGTCACTTTACAATGTATGAAAACATGGCTTTTATTTTTTATGTATGTACCCACCCCTTATGTAATACCCCTTAAATGGGGTTTTCAAGGAACAAAAATGAAATGAAATGAAATAATATCTGCTTTAAAGCTTTTTGTTGACACTAGATATTGTGAAATTTTGTTACACTAGCAAATTTAGGCATCCTTACTTATGAGCAATATCTTCCTCTTTCAGTAATGCAGCTTATCGGGCAAATTTTGCTTACGTCACCTTAAAATTTCAAGACAATTGCAGCAAAAATAAGTACGCTAGCGTAAATAACACTGCTGCAACCCCGCTCGACCATTCAGGGCCCTATTTTGGCATTGATTTCTTTTTTTACTGCCAAATTTGGAGTAGCACAGCATTTCAGTCAACAAATTTTATTCTGGGCGGTGAGCTAGGAAGACATTGCATCATCTCGTGGTGCTTAGTATTCAAGTGGCCTACTTTCACAAACCACTCACGCAGACTCATTTGAGCAAAAAAAATATATTATAGCCAGGAAATTCTTTTCACATTTCTTTCCGTTAGGGCATAAGCGGGTACGTGTGGAACAGCCTCAATTATAATAAACTATACGATAAGAAATGCATGCTCGCCGTGTCCAGTCCACCATCTCCTCAGCCTGCATAAGTTTCCAAGGTACAGTCTTTAAAGTTCACGCTACTACATTGGGATGAATAATAAAGGCGGCATCATTATTGAACGTCTACGCCCATGTATCTCTTTTGTTTTAAACGATTCATTACTCTGTGTTTAAGACAAAGCGCACCTTCTCCCATTTTTGTGTTCATTGTCGAAAGTGAACCAAGCAAACCATTGAATCATTGAACTTTATTTAAGCCACATAATGCAACAATGAGCTAAGACAGTGCCAGATGCCACATCTCGTTGCGGGCGGGAACACAGTTCAGCCGAATTTCTGCAAGAATGGCAAGATTCAAAATAGTGGGCCTGCATGAATCCCACCGTTTTTTTTTTTCCTGTTATCTGTATAGATATATAACAGAATGACATTCATTTGAAAATACACCGAAGCACTTCGCTGTAATTTAAAAACTACGCACTACATACAAAACAACAACTCCAAGTAGGAAACTAATACCCCCAAATGCGACTGATTTATGAAAATCTGGAGCAGCGGCGCTGGAGCTGATGTTTACTAGCCCACAAAATTATTATCAAGACAGGTAGCTTCAAAAAGAAAATAGCTTTGAAAAACGTGTTCCGACAGCTGTTGCTGTAAAGGTTTCAATTTCTGCATCATATTGATCAGCTTATGGTTAGGAATAACAAAGAAATGTTATAAGCACGTTGGTTTGGGAAATGTAAGGAACAAGGAGTTTTCATTCAACATATTGGCGCACAGTATAGGTGTATTTCAATACAATGGAATTGTTCGGCCGTCAACCATCAAGAACGAAAAAAAAATAGCTGATGCACATTGTTAACTCCCCAATCGCGAGCGATAGCTTTGTCGGCCTACTTTTGCAATTCAGCTATTTCTTTTTACATCGTGTAGTTGCAGAGAAGATATGAAATTAAGAAAACCGCTTTACGCACTTCTCCTCACCATATACATTAGGATCGTGGAATGTAAGCCAACACTAGCCAACAAGATCTACAACATAAGAAAGGTATTGCACATCTGTTTTGTCAAGTGTTTTCTTTTGGCACAATGCGCAAAAGGTAGGATCTCAGAAAAGTGAACTGTTATACTACATACGCTGAAACAAATAATGTTTTATTCTCTTTTTTTCTTTCAAATTAATACCGATACATGAATAAGGCTTATGGCCGCTGGCCCTGTAATGTTGAAGCAATTTTAAATCAGAGGTGAAACCGCAGCTTATATATATTGGTATGATATTACCGGCCACGTGTAATCTTCGATGCATAATATGTCGTTCTCAATATGCTTGTGGTGCACTACTACAGTGCAGCAGTATGAAAAGCATTTCTAGTTCTTTAAGGTTCACTATTTTCAGAAATGCTGTAAGAAGACAAAGTAAGAAAGGACACAGAGGAAAGTGTTTTGGTGTTTCTCTTTTTTAACGTGTCTTTGTAACAGTGTTTTTTTTACTCTTGCAATATAGCACAATCTTCGCTTAGTTGTCAATATTTATTATAATATTCTTTGCAAAACCAAACGCTTACACGGACGAGTTCAGTAGTCGAAATGTTGGCTCCCGGATGCAGCCCCCTTTTACGTTTTTTTCTTTTTTATTGGTGAAACAGTCTTATGAACGATGTGTTCACCATAGCTTGAACGACGAACTACCAGAAGCCACGACATGCTAATCCCAGCATGCAGTAGTCAATGAACAATTACGTGAAATTTTCACTTGCATATGAAAATCTCATTAGTTCGCCTGCTAATATAGCGTTCTTCGGCGTTCTTTCAGCATTCATCAACATTCAGTGAGGGCGAAAGTGATGATATCATTGTGGTATAAGTTCTCAGCCATAATGGGACATGGCGTGCATATCTTTCGTCTGCGGCCGTCCGCTACTATTGTGATTGGGCATGGTGACCATGCACAACTATTTACAGGTCCCGTCATGACGGTAGCAGAGAAAACATCTCATCGACTTCGAATACTCCTTCGCATATGTCATCTGCATCAGAGCTCATGATCACGCCTACACGTATATGCCACCGTGCCAACACATTTCGTGAGCGAAGTGTATGGCGCAGGTCAGATAATCGTCCACTCGGTCACTACTGAGTCGAAGTGGGCCACGTTTATGAAATATGCCAGTACCGGCATCTAGGTGTCGACTGATTCTATCTTAATGCGGTGCGCGCACTACGGTGAGTGTTTTCTTGAAACTATGAACGCCTTCGTCGGGATGGCAAAGTCATTCCTTCGACTGCTCAACGCTATGGGCCGTGAGCACTACCCACGCCAGTCAGCGTCACTGGGCTCGCACACGTCAAGCAACGCTTCTCTCGAGAACCACTCATGGAGTGACCTCAAGAAGTGGTAGGGTAAAATAAAACTAAAAGCACGCTAATTCATAACTCCCGCTCTGGAAGCACGCCTCAGATCCTTACGCATGGTGAAGGTGGAAGCAAACATAAGAGTAAAATGAAGTGAACATAGAAAAATTGAATGCAGCCGTTCACAAAATCGTCATTTTGTCACTGTTGGGGAAGCACGAAACCAAGGAGTTCGTCTGGCTGGCGGCTAAGGCCACCGTAGTGCCAAACTTCAGGAAGGGTCGCAGGAGGGGTATGCTACATCACGCAGGAAATAGAAAGTCATCTAAAACACCCCCGTACTGAGAAGGAAGTGTTGCCACGATACTATCGTCAGTGTTCCACTTTTCATACTCTGACTACGCAGTGAGCGCCTAAACGCTTCGTCTTACATCCATACGTCATGCATACTAATTTAAATAAACAAGCACTTACATCCCTTCAATCGCAACATGCCGCTCAGTGACGCCTACGTTGCGTAGTGGTAACATGATAACAGCTATCGAATTTGCCTGCGTGAGCGCATGCACGCTACACGAACTTCTCTCGTAAACAAGGCAAAAATTATCAAGTTGCTTATCAAGCGTGCCCAGCAACCCATGTCAAACCTACCCAGCAACCCATGTTATCAGCGTGCCCAGCAACCCGTGTCGATTAGAATAGCAACCTCCGTGTGTCAACCAGTCTTCACTGCACCTTTTGGGGATTGATATTTTATTACCAACACTCGATAACGATATCATGCTTCCGCTATGTTATTTACTGATCGTAAAGTGTTGTGTCTTATGCCTATATTAAACTTTTCGCTACCAACCGTTTGTGCCCCTGCGCTTTTGATTGTTTACTGAATTTGTCATTTTATCATGTTACGTGTGTCTTCCTGAATAAGAAACACACACGTTGGTTTGAAGTTAGCATTTGTCGCTTGTAACTTCCTTCCTGTGTGCCTGTCTTTTCGCACTATTCAGCGTTTGAACATGCAATTTTGCATCCTGCCCGTTGCAGCGCTCTTGTCAAAACTTTACCAGCGCAGATCCAATTCATCATTACCAGCAGCAGACAAAACATCAAAAAATGCCCAGCTGCGTTGGTGTGCCTAATACTTTACACACAAGAATGGCGGGTGGTTCGCTGCAGTTTTTTAAGTAAGCGCCACATGGAGCTTTCACGCACCTCTGTCACGCCAACAAGGGTTCGTACCCTTACAGCGTGATTGAGCTGTACACCGAAAGGCGAATCACGATGAGTGATGAAGCGCTCGACATGAATGGTGCCGGATGAGGTGGTCATGTTGCCTCTCTAAAACTCTAAGTTCATGCATCTTCTGAGTACATTTTAGGCGTATTTTAGGCGTATGAGTACATTTTGGTGCGCCAAATCATTCAGCTACCTGTTTAGAATAGGTATAGTTGTTATGGGTGTATTTTTTACTTGTTATCGCCTGCGTATTCTGTCATACTCTCAACAAATAATTCTGAAGTAATGACAAAAGAGAATTACGCTTTCAATAAAAAAAAGTATTTTGTTTTATCCTGAGAGCAAAATGCATCACTGTGAATGAGTGCTCCTCATTTTTTTGTTCATTTTGAGCAGCTTTATTTACGTCATTGATTCATTTTTGAGAAAAAAATGTTTATTAGTAGAGCAGCAGTATTGTGAAGGAATTTTTGCACTTCGGTCATTCATATAAAAGGTTAGTTGGGTTTTGTTTTTGCGTGCTTGTATAAAAACATTAGTACTCAAGCAGCTGTTCCACTGTCCCCTTTGAGCTAATTTTGTCATGCTATATTTTTACGAATGTTCGTTTCTCAATTCTTGGTGTTTTTTTTTTCATAATTGTTTGTGAATAAGCACATCTCCAGCATGAGTTAGCAGTGAGGTATGACTGCGATGATTTACTGCGCTTTGCTTCCTTAATCTTAATATAGATTAGGCACTTACCCGAATGCTAGTGTAATTCAGTGGACTTTCCCCACTCTCCCCGTTTTAGCGATCCAATTTTTCCTGTAATCTTAACGAGAAAGCAAGCTCACCAATCAGCAATGTTACTAAGGTCATGTGCGTGTCTGTTGCCACTGTTTGAGTTTTGCCACCAGAAGGACATGCGTACGCACCCGTTAGGATTTTAGGGTTTTACTGATTGAATGGCGACGTAGCAAACTGCTAGATAACCTGCATTTTCGTCTTCAGGTAAATATACCTCGGAATTATTTATACGTACTCATGAAGTAAAATTTCCAAGAATTTTAATACAAACTATAAAACTAAAATGTACTTTCTTATCCGTTTTTTTTTTAGTTTTTGCAGACACGCCATGCCATATGGACATACGCTACCACATCAGGCAGCCAATGTTTGTGTCAAGCGGACGTGACGTACTATATCGATGAAAGAGAAATTTTTTACTCGCATTACTTCCTCAGCCAAGGACAAACCAAGTAATGCAATGTCTCGTAAATCTTGAGTATTGTTAATTAAAGTGTCCTTTTTTTACAGGAAACGCGCAAGCATGAAGGGAAGGTTTGTTAAGAAGAACGTCGTATATGTGCGTTCACATGGTAAGAGACGTAATTGGTTCATTGCTAAACTCTAATAGCTCTTTCATGTTATGAATAGTTATGTTACCCCAGTAACAATATTGATGCGATTATACATCGTACAATAAAGCTAAAACATTCCGGCTAGAAGGCACGCGTGTTCATTACAGTTCGGGGTATTCAGTGAACACGGAGTGAAGTTCGGGGTAAAAAGCGCGATATCGTGATGTGGTCATGACGTTCACGAAGGCAGCAGACTATATGTCGAAGATGAAGCTATTTATTTGGTCGAACTTGTAGCTGCTAAATGTAATGTCTGGTTACAGTAACACAATGGCATTGAAAGCGGTGAGCAGAGAATCGGCAGTCAATCAACTTCAATCGGCGATGCATGTTAGCAATTATACACGAGCCATCAAATATTCTAGCGTCATTTCTAGCAGCCGCGTAATTTCCGGAAGAATCTGTAGTGTTCGAGGTGTGCGCGAAGTTAAATTGGAAGTTTCTACAATTACCTCAATGTTAATTGCTGAATCGGCGTGATTACTCAACGCAGCGCTTACACGTGTCATGGGGCGATAGCAAAACTTGAGACAGGAGTGTGGCATTGCCGCTTTTTGAAGACATCGTCCCGACGCTTCAACAGAAGATGAAATTACAAAATAAAGTAATAAATTCAAGCAACAAAATTTATTAATAAAGTAAAAATTACAGTTCACAAGATCTCTAACGCGCGTAAAACGGCTTAAGGCGCACGATATGGACGCTTTTGGGCTGCGCATGGTGCCGTTGAAATTCGTAATTCCATCCGGTCGCAAGCTTGTAGTCTAAAGTGCCTAGGCGTTGAAGCGCCTTGTATACACCCAAAGTATCACCGAAGAAGTTTTTCATTCACTAAATCCACGTCGGCGTATTGCCTTCCATTACCAAACGCAGTCGCTGGGATGGTGTTCCACGAAGCTTCGTCAAACAGTAACGGCGGCTGTCGGACATCTGCTGATTCTCAATGCGCAGACAGGTGAAATAATGAGCGTCTTTTTTACGCTGAAGGCAGACTGTGACGTTAAGGTTTTCTTCACCAGCGACGTTAAGCAGCGTGGCGCCGCCTCGTTGCCGGGTGCCCTCCGTAGACCAACTTGTATAGTGCCATCTGCGTAGTTTCTTGCACCGCTGTTTTCGTGAAGCGAAGGTAACGTCCGAAAAGATGACGTCCCTCGTCTTGTATTCGACGTCGACTTACATAGCCAGCGTGTCAGCGATGGTCGAGTTTAGCCGCTCGGTGAGGACGAGCGCTGGTAGGTGGTAGGCTGTTGTCCGGCTGTGGCTTGTCTGGCTGTACGCTGAGATCGCCTCAGCAAGGTCAGCACTAAATGCCGTACCTAGGCGCTTAGCAGTGAAAGCAAACGCCCTAAGGTCTTTGGTCGCTTAAAAATGTAAGGGATCTTCACACTAGAGATGTCATGACTGGAGGAAGAGCGAAGCTTGGCTGCCTTAATACATAGTAAAAGTACGATTAACGCGGTTCAACATTTCTGTGACCACGCTCACTGACATCATCAGTACGTTAGCAAGGGCTTCGCGTTAAAACTTTGGCAATCTCTGGGCGTTTTCGGGCCACTGCGGCTTTTTAAAGTAAAGAAGAGACTGTATATTATCAGGTTAGTGCTTGAGTTTCCTTTTGCCACTACGAGGGGAAAGGGGTTATAGAATATTTTTAATAGAGGATGTGAGCACTCAGGCTTTTCATTGTGGCATTGACGTCTCTCGTGGATGTTCCACATTAACGGTAAATTTTGCTGAATTTTGATGAATCTGGGCATCAGGATTTGGGTGATGGTATCAAAACAGCCACTGCAGACTACCTCGATTAGTCAGAGCTCAGTGCGGATGACTACAGTGTGTCAAAACCACTACATAAATATCAAGTATCCGCTAGTAACTATCGTCTACATTATGATCATCTCTTGATATTCACTTTCTCTTGATGTGGACCATATGTTGTAAAGGAGAGTAAGAAAGTCTGATAATCTTACTGCCTGGTCATGATGTGAACAACATAAAAAAAAGTCACAGCTTTGCCGCAAAGGCGAAGCAATGAACGCGATAGCACCTAATTGGAAGGTCACTCCCAGAATGTCCGGCAGTTCGAAACGGGCCCCGCATTTCTCCCACACAAATGACACACGAAACGTCCTCTCAAATACAAATGAACGCATATAAGCGTCTAAGTTGGTACTTCGCTATATCTGGAAAGCGCGCTCTTTTCGCAAACGTAGATTGTGCAACCATTGCAGCAACCTTTGTGCACTCGTTAATTACAACGGAATCGCTCCCGTAAAAACGGAACGCCATCTAAGACGTACCATCTCCCCTACCACGAGATAAGGGCGCGCGAGTAAGCGGGGACCTGCTGCTCTTTGCGGGTTAAAGGGCGCGTGAAAGATGAGAGCGCAGCCACCGCGTCGGGACGATATTGCTACGCATGCTCATTGCGCCATCTTGCTGATAATGCTGAAAATACGATAGTTCTCCCCCGAGATGCCCGTCAGCAGCGGTAAGAGGTAGATATAGATAGCTTGCTGTTTGAACGTTGAAAAACGTGCTCCTCGGTGGCTGAGTGGTTAACGCGTCAAACTCACTATCCAGACGACCCAAGTTGGATTCTGCTCACCGGAGTCTTTTTCTATATTTTTCTTTTTTTGCGTTTTCATATATACAGATACGTATACATATACGCTGAGTGACGCCAACGCCGACTTCGACGCCGGCGCCGGTGGCAAAATCCAGCCGAAAATGTTCATGTAATTGCTATCGCACTAAAGTCATGTTGCGTACATAACCTTTTGCAACGGTCGACGGTACGCAGGTACGCACCACAGGCAATTTAGATTTATATATATACCTCGGAAGCAGATGACAGATATTGCTATACCTTAAAAGGGAGAGCGCTAAGAGAAAATGCCATCGGCAGTGAAGAGGTGACCAATGCAAATACAAAAATAGCAATGATGTTAGCAGTATTTGAACCCACGTGATCTGCGTGGTAATGTAGTATTGAAACCGCAGTGTCACACCAGGTCTTCAAACTGCCTTCGAAAAAGACATTATGTCATCGCAGTGTCGTTGCAACTTTAATTAGGGCTGCAGTGCTTGTTATCTGATTGTGTAACAAAGCAACTAACAATACACAAATGAAGCCGTGGCGCAGACGTTCAACGTCAATCGTGGTGTTACTGTCAACACCACATGATATGGTATAGGCAACTACACAATCGCATACCTATCACTCGTCAAGCTATATTGAAAAGTTGCTTGTGCCCGCTGGGACTCGCCAGCGCACTTTACGTGTGATATTTACATCGTGATACCATAAAGCACACTTCGTTTGATTATTACGAGTGTCTACGCTCTAACTTTCATGCTGGCAATATAATGAACATTAGGTAGCCCCATATAATAATTATTTACCATAAGACGGCAGTGCAGTAAGCACTCCCGGTAAGCCACGATGTGCACACAAATACTGCACTTAACGTCGATCAAACTCGTTAGACCTTGCCTGAAAGCTGAAAAGATCTGCATATGCTGCAGTATTCTGCATCGGCTAAAAGTCATCAGAGCCTAATGCGAGGATATATCAGGCTACCACTGATGGAGCTGTTCCTGCGTACGTTTGGGGTAGCGTCGTTTCGCAACTATGAAAAACCACTTCTGGCATTCCCTTGTTTCTAGATACGTAATAAGCGTATTAATGTTGAAATCCGGGGTTCAACGGAAGTAGGTCGTGTCGGGAAGCACCATTGCAAAAGAAAAGAAAATGCGAACAATACAAACGCTTTAAAGGGATGGTGCCACCATTTTTGTGGCTTGCGCTTTCTTTGCTGCAAGCGTTTTTTAAAGCTCCAAGAAGCATGATGCACGCACTAAGATTGATCAATTCTAGCTGGAAATATTATTACGCTTTTTGTGTGGACAATCTTGATTTCGGTTCCTGCGCGCCGAATCGGGCTGTGCAGAACCAATGTACCGTGGTCACGAAGCCACGCAAGGCTGTGACGCACGTCACGCTGATTGACGTCTGCTCTCGCTGGCTTTCTCGCAAACAGGTGCCGCACAAACACCTCCAAAGCAAACGCGTAGCAGCCATGGTGCAGGGCAGATTGAAGTAACTCACCTCACTACAATAGGCGTGCACACGGAAGGGGGATGAGGTGGCGGGCGCTATCCTAGTCACTTACGAAAATGAATTTAAAACACAGCCCCACACATTGACGTAATATGGGAGGTGGCGCTGCGAGTTAGGAGGGGGGTGTGAAGTTAGATCCATATATTGACATTATAGAGAGGTGGTGTGCTGCGATGAACCTTTGCTCCCACTCAAGGAGAAACCTGCGCACGCCTACGCTTACTACAAATCTGTTGTGATGTCACTGCAACTTTCGTTGACCTTTATAACAGCAATGACAGTTCCAAACACACTTGCAATGGGCTTCGGTCCGAAGAGCATGAGCATTCAGGCAAACTCTGGAAGTGAAATAAAATATATTCTGGACGTTTGCTGTGCCCGATGGTTCGTGTGGAGTCTCCAAGCATACAGAGAAAAGCCGCAAGAAGCTTGTCTTAGTCTCGAAATTCGATGGCGCCACCGCTTTAAATATGCCTATGAAAATGTATTCACATGTTTACTGAGTACTACTTCCAGCCACCCCGTAACTTTTGCTCATTTTAAAAGTGCCGCATAGAGATTTTCCTTGTGCATGCTTCACAGACAATTGACTCCAGCGGTACGCAGAATCTCCCGAGTTTTGTTCATATGTGTGTAAACAAAATTTGTGCTCGCAGAGCTGACATATTCACCATTATTATAAGCGTATTTTGTCCAAAAGGCATACATAATTTCTTACTGATTATTCTTTTCAGATTAGCATTGATGTTCCTGTGTGCGTTCTTTTTGTTTCATCAATCTTTCATTCGTCTTTTTATGTTTCAGTAAGCTTGTTGTTCAAAATAACACGTTTCGAGACACTGATTCTGCTTCAATCATTTTATATATAGCAATTCGAAATGAATGAATTTCTGGGGCAGCAAATAAATGCTTTCTGGACAAGGCAGAAAGCAATTTTTCTTTAGTCACCAAAGTGTTAGTTTGGTATATACTGGTTTTTATATAATTTTTGTGCTCCAATTAGCTTTTCTAACACAAAGGTATTTTATGCCGGGGGCTACCACGGCTTCACTGAATGATTTTAGTCATAGACATGACGAAGTAACGTGTCTACTGGCGCGTGAAAAAAATAAGAAAAAGTACCGTCACTATGAGGTGAATTTACAACCTTTCACTGGTGATCGCTTGGTGCCCTACAACTCAACCACAAACCGTTCGTTTTTGAAAGTACTAGTGGTGAGCTGCCTATATGCCTAATTGGCTGTCAGTGGTACACAGAGCTCAGTGACTTCAGCGTGTTTGCGTTATGACTTCCCGCTGTCACCTAGCCCTTCTACCAGCGGATCGACCAAGTATATTTTATTGCCAAACTATGGCCGAGCATGGTCCATCAATGCCAACTTCCTTAACTCCTGCTACTAGAGCTCTGATTCCTCTAGGATGATTCCTCTAAACTATCAACGTTACCATAACTGGCCACCAGAAAAATGATCTGATGTGTTGTCACCGGAATGAAGCCAATCACTCTGTTTTTATTGTATGAATATCACTGCACCAAGAGTCCATACGTATCTACACTGATGGGTCCGTACTGCCGAACGCCTCAACCGGAGCTGTCGTGACATCAGAATTGGTCACGACGAATACATTGAAGGCAGCCCACGCAACAACATCAACGACAGCCCTTCGTACAGCGTTTCCTTTCTTCATTGACCAACAGCCTACACAAGTGGGCTATCTTCTGTGACTCAAAGGTGACTCTGTAGCGTCTTTGTCAGGCTTACGCCGCACACCACACGAAGACCTGGTACTAGAGACAGCAGAGGTTATACAGCACCCAAGTGAGAAAGAATATCAAACTGTTTTCAGTCATTACCCAGTCACTGTAGAAAAATCAGGTGAACTTGCCGATCAAGCTTCCCACTCAGATAACGCAGATGACCATGAAATACTACTACCGCTTTCTAGGACGGACGCTGCATGGAAGCTGCGCTTGCTTACCTGCCAATACACCACGACACAATGGAAAGAGCCGCACTCTGAGCATGTCTGGCTCCACTTCATTTGATGCTACGTTAAGTAAACGAGGCCTTTTTGCGTATTCTATGGTTGGGCGAAGCACTTACCAAAAACTATGTTTTCCGCATTGTTATGGCCGACACTGTAGCCTGTGACAATTGTGGTAACCTCATAACAAGTAGACACGTCTTTTGCGACTGCCTACAGTATATTTCACCGTTATTATGCGTTTGCAACATGCTCAAGAAGCCAGATGACCATCCTCTGTCAGGGGAAAAAATTTTACACCATGGTCAGGATGAAACGTCACAGAAGAAAGTCTTACAAGCGCAACTGCACCTTGTTGTGATCGACCGGCCTCTTTGAATTATTGTAGTCAAAACGCGCGTCCTATGTGTGCGGTAGTTTTTTTTTATCGTGCGTGTATGTGCATTTGTTTTCTCTTTTTAAAGACGATAGTCTTTCTTGGGCACCGTCGACGGAAAAATTCTGGTCTGTCTGTCTGTCTGTCTGTCTGTCTGTCTGTCTGTCTGTCTGTCTGTCTGTCTGTCTGTCTGTCTGTCTGTCTGTCTGTCTGCCTGTCTGTCTGTCTGTCTGTACATTTCTCTGTTTGTCCGCCCTAACAATACCTCAAACGGCATTAAACGGTCAACCCCATCCGCAGCGACCACCAATACTGCTCAAGGTTTAGCATTCAAAGTTTTGTGATTGTCAATTAAAAAAGCAAATATTGCGCACAACTGAGGTGCCATAACAAGACGTCAAGCTTTGAATATCTGCCTTTATACTAGAAGAGGCACGCACAAGCAACTCTAAGGACTAGCGTTTATCGCGCTGCGCTGCCGGTGCAACGCAATGCTCAATAAGGTGTTTCCAACGCTTTGCTACGACTTCACGGTGGTGGCCCCGGCCCGTCACTTACTATTCTACACCTTATTACTTCCGAGACTGGCGCGCATCTTTCTCCGCGGTCACGCACGCCTTCGTTTTCGAAGATAACTGCCAGATGGCGCCAGTATCGAACGTGCCTAGATGCGCTTGTTCACCTCCGCTACGGGCTCGAGGCACTCTAACGCAGCGCCTTCAGAATATCATTCACCAATTTTCTTGCGCAGAACATCAAATAAACGTTTCGTTCACTCTCTCCATACGCAAGACTATCGTGTTTTGACGACATTTACAGTGTAACATGAAGATTCAGGACAATTTTTTTCCCTCTTTCTACATACTCTTCTTGCTTCTACTTCCTCACCGCAGTGCTGTATAGCAAACTAGATTATAACTGGTTAGCCCGGCCTGCTTTTCATCTCCACCACACACTCTCTCTCCCTCGTTACCACAACAGAGACGGCACGCCTAGCTCATCGCTCCGCGTATTCCGTCATCCTGCCCCCTCCTTCCTATATCCCACACTCCTGTACAAATACACGTAGTTGACTACTTCTTCACAAATAGACTGTTAGCCTTACTGGTATTGGAATTTTAACACGACAGGTCAGAGTCCGTCTAGATTTGATGCCCGTGAACTCCATGACACGCCGGACGTTGAAAAGCAACACGTGGGCAGCGAAGAAACTCGACGTAGCATCACGTTGCAAAACACATATTTCGTTTGTTTGCGCACCTTTTACACCTGAAGAGCAGTACAACAAAGCATCAGGGTTACCATGATTGTCCAACAAAAAAGCCTTCGAATGTATCGCACTGCGCGAAAAACTTACAACATGCACTTCCCCCGCAATCACGCATATATGCTGTCTGCGTGAATAAAAACATTGCCGCGTTTTTTTGTACAAGCCCCACAGCGGGCTCTTCATGCCATTTCATTTGTTATTTTTCCACATAACTTGTGCGCTTCACATTTTATCTTCAGTGATTTAGAAAAGTATGAAACGACTAACGAAAACTACAGGAATTTAGTGCGTGCTACTTACCCTTTTCTTTTCTGCTACTTTTTAGGATCTCAAAACGTAGTAAAACACAAGATTGTGTACTTTGACAAACAAGTGAATTGTGCTGTGGTAAAAGTGGCATCGATGATTTCCCCTGGAGGTAGGTTCTCAAGAATTGTTTCATTCTGAAGAAGCGGCCACAATCACTTTCCAGGTGTTCTGCCGAACACGACTAAAAGATGTCTCCAGATATACCAGAGTGTTTCATTAGCTTACATTGTACTACTAGGCGTGATTTACACGTGGCACACTTTTCATTCGCAACCCCGGCCCAGAAATTCACCGTTGAATACCACCCACGGAAGGTTATTCAACCACAAGTCTTGTTTCGCATCGAACCTAACTAATGTTTTTTTAGACAATGCATATTTTATACAAAAGGTTTGGTATTTTCGCACATGTACTCTAGGCAAATTAGGTTTGTCAAAACTAAAATGAAGCTTGCGAAACTAAGTACCCAACGCTTGTTATTTTGTTTTTTACCTATTGTCTGGAGGTCAGTACTCAATTTAAGTCACTGCTTTGCCACAAAACCAAAGCAATCAACGCAATAGCGTGAAATTGGAAGGTAACGTGCAAAATGGAAAGCAGATCGAAACGTGCCCTGCGTTTCTCCCGCACAAATGACGCACTAATTTTATTCACAGGCACAGATGCACGCGAATGAGCGTCTCAGTTGTAACTTTGCTGTGTCTCAGAAGCGCGTGATTTTAGCAAACAGAGAGTGCAATGATTGCAGTGACCTTTGTGCGTCCTTTAACTATACCAGGATTGTTCCAGGTAAAACCCGAGGCCAGCTAGCAGTTACGATTCTCCTTTTCTTCCTACCACGCGATAAAGGCGCACGAGGCAACGTCACTCCCTCCTCTAAACGGGGCAAAGTACGCGTGGCAAATTAGAGCGTACACCGGCATGTGATGTTGCGATGCGCGTGATGTTGCGCCATCTTGCTGGTAATGCTGAAAACACGATAAGTCCCCCGAGTTACCCGTCAGCAGTGGTAAGTGGTAGATATAATAAGCTTGCCATTTGAACGGTGAAGGAGATGTGATCTGCGATTGTCAGATTAACTTGACCTGTAGTCAAAAAAAGAAAAGCTCCTCGGTGGCTCAGAGGTTAACACCTTACTCTCACGATTGAGTATACTTATGCGTATACTTAAGGGCTCGTTTTTTCATGTTTTGACACAGCAATAATAAGATATAACAAACATTTATACCAAGGAATGTATAGGGGAAGTTATTAGATACATTGTAATGTAAAATGTGAAGAAAAAAAAAAGAGGTGAAAAGATAATTTGCCGTGAGCATACATATACGGTGAGTGACGCCGACGCTGGTGGCAAAATCCAGCCGAGTGTGTTCATATAATTGCTATCTCAATAAAAAAGCCACCCGCGCTCGGCCCCCAGCTCGTCGCGACGCGCCAACGCGTATTCATCTCCTACGCTTACTTTGCCCTACGCATGGGGGTAAGGAGAGGGGGCGTATGTGCCTGTGTGCTAGCGCGTATCCTTCGGTGGGGACAATCATGCACCTTGGCATTCCTTCGAAATGATTGCGTTAGTCCCCAGAGTTACAAAGTTCAACTTCGCTCACTGGGCAGGTCCCATTTGCGCAAAGAGCCCGCTTTTCAAACACATTGTAGTAACAACTGGGACACTCGTTAGTTCGCGCTTATATCTGTACCTGTGATCACGTCTCGTGTGTCGTTTTTGTTAAAAGAGCGCGTTAAGCGTCGAGTTGTAAACGGTGTTAGTTTGCTCGCATCCTGTGTGTGTTTAAGTGCGTCACTTGTGCGTGAGCAGCGTGCTGCACGTATCGATCTGCTAGCCGTTTTCAGCGTTAAATTCCAAGTTAATGCAGTCACATTGATTGCTTCGACCATGTTGCAAAACTGTGACTTTTTCGTTTAGAAATCACAAAAATTGGACGTTATTCGATATATTCATAGCCAAATGTAATATCAGGCACACAGAAAGAGTGGCCTTTTCGTTACTTACACTCTAAGCCAAAAATGGCCAAAATGGGAGCAACGGCTGTTTTTACTCCTTCAGACCGACTGTTACTCTCCGAAAAGACCAAGCGGAACAAGATGGCCGACTTGTTCGAGAATGGGGGAGCAACTGTATTCATCTTAAGTTTGTAAGGGAGCAACGGAAGGAGGAACCGCTGTAAATGCTCTCGTCACGCAACGGTTACTCCCCGGCAGAACACCGCACACAAATATGCATGCCGCCCACATTGATATTCATGGGCCAGATTATTGTTTGTTCTGTGTGCCAAACTTCACCAAACCAAAACAGTGATTTATTTTAGCATCCGTAGATAATAAGATAGCAGCGCTGGCTGAACACAGAAGGCCTGAGAATACAGTACGGCAAATACCTAACACACGCAGCAGCAGAATGGAGAGTTGGCACGTCAAAGCGGACCGAACGCCGAAACACGTGCAAAACAACGATAAAAAAAGCCTAGACACGCCGTTCGTCCGCGAAGTAAGGGCGTCAAAGTCGATCAAGCACCGAAACACGTGCATTAGGAGCCCCCCCCCCCCCCCCCCGCCCAAATATATCGGAGAAGAAAAAAAAAAAGCGGACCCAGACGCGCTTCTCATCAGCCATACACTTAGTAGCACGCTTCACCGTGTAGGTTGAGGGCAGAATGACAAATCTGCGCCATCTGCGCCCGCACGACAAGTGTGGCGCCAGAGTAGCAAACGATGTAAGTTACAAAGTAATTTTTATTCAGTGTTTATGTTGACTAGCACTAAATAAAAGGTACACTCAACTTTTTATATTTATTTATGAGTTTTAGTGTACCTCAGTTTGTTTTTATAATTGTATTAGGAGAACACGCTGAAATTATTGCGCTGACGCCTGTGCTGCCACTGCTCGACGTTTTTTTTTTTTTTTTTCGGCGCAACTAGGTTCGCGTTCGCACTACTTACTCATTTTCATATGGTCTGTGGTTGGCGAGCACATGGACGTGCGAGCTGTGAGCTATGTTTTGATCGTGTGTGTGTGTCGCAGATTTGCGTTTCTACTTATTCGTGATGAAGGTTAGTGTATATTTATCTTTATGGAGCGCGAAGTAGTTGTGGATTTTGCTGCTGGGTGGAACAAACACATCGTAAACACTTCAGCTATCTGCAAGCCTGTTCGCTCGTCGGACAAAGGACTGTGCATGCATCAGCGTGCAGGTGAGTGGCATTTCCAGCAACATTTAATGCTCTTACAATACATTGTTGAGTGGTTGCGCTATTGAAAGAGAAATGATTTGCTCTTATTCACCGTATCCATTGCAAGCCGTATCGGACTAAATTACCTCTATTACCGCCTGCATACCCTCTTGCTTCCCCTGTCACCACTGCAGTGCCAGTGTACTTTTGCAGTTAAAAGTTCATTTCCGCAACACTACCTCGCTTGAAAAAACATTGGGGCGGGGTTGTAGCTGCATTCATACTGGCACTTTTCTACCATTGGCTTTATGTAATGTTAACGGCTGAGTGTTGGGGCCTTGGGCCGCATTTTTTAGAGATGTAAAGTGTATGTAAATCAGTAAGTAAACAAATCATTGTCGCCTCACTTCACTGGCATAGCCAGGCGGTTGCGCACAGAATTTTTTTAGGCCGGGCGTAGGGAGCCCAAGTTGACGACCATATTCGCTTGCCGGGCCTATTCAGATAAGCGGACCTACCCCCCCCCCCCCCCTCCCCGCACGCCTTAAAAAAAAAAATCTGCCCACATCACTGCGTCACTTGCTTCACCTCTGCGCTGAACGTACTATTTTATAAGCGCACCATCAAGCGAGCAGTTTACATGTTCTGTTTACATATTGACAGAACAATTGGAGGAGGAATGACCCATATCTTTCAGATTTCTTTAGTGATGCAAAACCTTAGCAAAACTGAATATTGTAAAAGACAATCATAAATGCTGTATGTTCTCGTTAGCGCTGTCATTATTCTGCATCATGAAATCTTTATGCGCTGTGAAAACTTAGCATGCCGTTGAAGTCACATATCGACGTTAATACCAATCGACGAAAATTTCGACAACCTCAATAACGCCGTTTGGGATTTGCCGCATGCACATAATTAGGCTGATTCCCACTTGGCTGTTCTTAACCTGACTTCACTGCTACCAAATGAAACAATATTTGATGCATGTCTTTTACTTTTTTTTCAGGGATATGACACAAATTTGGTTATACTGCAGATAAAGATGCTCCCAACGATGCTAATGTACAGAAAGCAAGAGAATTTTGGTAAGTGCAGACTTTTTGTACTACGTATATGAAAGCATCACTTTTTAGGGGCAAACTGTGCATGTGTTGGCCAGAGAATAGTTCATTATGCCACATGGTTACACTGGCACTGACAATTCGACATGGCTCCGCTGGCCCGTGTGTGTGCTCACACTGTTACCGTTAAGATAAAATGTTTATGTTTTCATTGCAGGGATTGCTGTTTGTACTAAAAAGCCAACTGCCAAGATTTGTTTACGCTGGTACTCCTAAAAGTATGCTTTCCCTATTTACATGGATTTTGGCTTGCACAAAGCATAACACTTGGGCCTAGATTCACAAAGCTGTCCATGCGCAGGCCTTCATAACAGCGTTTCTTGACTTGCCTTTACCCTGTTTTCTGCAGATGTTTCGTGGGTTTAAAAGTGCCACAGCATGTTGACCTCCACCACTCTGAAATATTCGCGTTCAAAGTTTCACAAGAGTGGGCTTAACTTTCTTGTGCACCTCTTTGCTAGTCCAAGATACTGAAGTGTTATGCTCTTACTAGAGGTGGCAGTGTTTCTAATGTTTGTATTTCCATCACATTGACCAAGTATGCGATCTTGGCTTGACTGGTAGCACATCCTCAACAAATGTCTTTGTGGCACATGTAGAAGGCAGTACAAAATAAATAGGCAGACATTCACACCGGGAGCTAACTTCTAATAATGCTTTTTTTTTTGGAAACCATGGTGTGCTCATTCCAATTTGTCTAACAAGCAGTAACCTGTTTGGCTGTGAACCAACAAGACGTTGAGCTAATAAAAGCTTCACATCTTGTTGCTCTCAAATATATATGTATTGGCAAGCT